TGAGATCCTGTAGAAAATTACACCATGGGGGTTTGCTACCCAGTCTCTAACTACAGGGAACTTTAAAGGCAAGACATTAAGCTCAGCACACACCAAGTAAAGCACACCTGCCCTGGACAAACAGCATGAAAGAAATGCACCTTTTCAATCAGCTCCAGTAGTCACCGATTCCTTGGTTCCAAGGCAACAGATACCTTTCTGATTAAATAAAGTGCTTGTGAAAGTACCTGTGCCATAAGAGTTCCAAAGAGACAGCGAATTTTGTGCAGTAAGGTAATCTACAAACTTTTTAGGGCTGAAAACTCCAATTTTTTTTCCCCTATGGGAATTCTATATTCAGTTAAGAATGCACTGTAACCAAGTCAAATAAAGCCAAAAAGTTAACGAAATCTATTTAATATTTGTTTGGTTAGCATGGGTTTAATTTATGAGTGTTTTGACAGCAGTGTATAAGCTCATCTTACTCTACATTATGCCTGTTCTTGAAGTGATTAATTTTTTTCTAGGAGTTTGCCATTCTTTTTAGACATATCTTCAAGGTGAAAATTGTTTTAGTGTAAAGTATCATATAATTCTGAACTTTGAAAACAACTTCTACAATGTTGGATAGAATCAGCCATACTGGTAACTCCAAGAAGACATTCTAAGATCAAAAACCATCACACACAAACCATACCCATCTTGTATTCTGTAAACAGCACAGCATTCTGGAATAAGACCTCTCATCATCAGAGCTTTCTTTAGGCTGTCTCGGACTGTCACTCCACATCTCGCTGGAACCTAGAGGTCAAATATAAAAAGAAAATAATTAAAACAAGTTCCAGTCTATCCCCTCAAACCGATGCGAACATTTTGACCCTCAAGTGCTAAACCCCACTTCTCAGAATGCTTTACAGAATGCTATAGGTAAGAGTTTTTGAAAAACTTTTTTGTACTGTGGAAAATTTTATTGATGAAGAGTATATAAGCAATCTAGCTCAGCTAGAAGAGAGAAAAAACTCTACATTTCTATTAACATTTGGAATGAAATCTTGACCCAACTCCAAAAGTTACTTTCCAACTCTTCTCAACTTGAAGGAAGTGGAGACACAGCACACAAATAGCAAATAATTATGTGCATCTATAAAAAGTTCAGGCCAAGCTGTATAATTAATTGGGGCAACGTGCCAAGTGGAATTAAAATGAACGAACTAACTTGGACTGCACTCAAAAATGCCATTACAATAAAATGTAAACATGTTATTTTCTATTTCTAAAATAGAAGATAAGCATGCAAACAAGTAAAATAAAACAATCACGTGAGTCAGGCAGACATCACCTCTCACTTTGTATTTGCAACTCTACAGACACTTCCTATTTGAAAAACACATTCTTCTCTTCTGTTTCACTATTTGAAAAGTTTAAGTATCTATCAGGATGAGAAGAATGGAGAAGCACACTAAAACTAGCTGAAGAACTGCAAACTATGCAAAGTAAAGACACTTTTCTTGTCTCTACTCTGTCCTAGCTGTAGGTGTATCTTATAGGAATAAGTATGTCATCTCTAGGTATACGTGTGAATTAACAGTGTATAGTGTGTCAAGCCATAAAAACAGAACAATACATAATCTGATGATTAAGTGTAGTTAAGGTGTTGAGTATCACCCAATTACTATGTCTACAACTCAATAGTGAAGATAGGTGACACTTTAGGTGGTATACACACTGGGACATCTCCTATAATCACAGACAGCACCTCAAATGTTAATCAAAAGAAAAGCCCCGAGGCTTAACTAACCAAAAAAGTCTGTCTGAACACCTGAGACTCAACTCTAGCTTGCTGGTGGCCTAAGCCAGAGCCCTGGGTAGCCAAAAGCAGTCTCTTAATCAGCTTCAACTGACTTTAGATCAGAGCCTAGTTTTTCCTCCTTGCACTTAAATTTCCATGGGTATTTAGGGGCCCTATGTCCTACTTAAGGATGACAGTGAAAAGTAGCAGTCTATTTCAAGTAGCTTTGTGAATACCACTTGAGGTTACACTATATATTGCATTTCTAGAACACAAACATATGCTCTCTCAGAAGAGACAAACTAAAGGAATATTTTGCTTCACAATCTTCCTCCCATTAACATGAAAGTGCTTCTTAAAGGATACTTGTGTGTTTCACCTGGTCAACACGTAAATGTTTAAGGAAGAGAATTTTTACTAATTCCTTGGAAAAAAAAGTCCTATAGCATACTGCTTTACAATCTTGATATTCAGCCTTAAGTGACGTTGGTTTACGCATTCTATTACTTTTAATGCATCTTTTTATTAATCTAAGTAACTTCTTCCCACCCTAGAAGTTAAGACCATGGCTTTCAATCACTTGTAGGTCATTCCTCCAGCGTAAAACATCCTGAATTGTTACCAATACCTGTCACTTATTAAGAAGGAACCTGGGAGTACCTATATCATCAATATCGTCAACTTTCCATTGTAAAACTCAGCCCTCCGTTGCTGAAGTCTCTACCAAACTAATTGTTCACACTGAAACCAACTGTTCATAGGGTTGTTCAGTAATCGGTACTCCCTGCTCCTGAGCCCTGGTAACATGGTTGGCATAACTAGCACCACTTTATGAGGCAAGCAGCCATTCTCTGTGACCAAGTGGGTCATGTATTTGTTCCCTTTCCCCTCATTATCAGGCCCTGAAGGTCCTGTGAACCAAGCAGACAAACCAAACAGATTTCTTCTTCCCTTCCCTACCAGCCTCAAGGTTCCTGGGAGCCAGGTTGATTGCTCCCTTCCTTGCTGGACTTGAAGGTCCCAGGCACCCAGGGCCACCAGCGATGGCCCCGTCAGCACCCACTGCACTGTCTGTAAGACCAAGTGGTTCTAAGTGGGGAACATGGACCAGAGCTGCTGCTGGACACTGAGACCCAGGGCCCATTGTGGTCAGGGACACTTCCACCATTCTCTCCTTCCTGCCAGGATTGAGGGAGTGACTCATACTCTTTTCTATGAATTTAGAGCCTAGATTATGATTGTTATATTGATATGGCAAGCCATGTATGAAGATTTGACCCGATCTGCAGAGGGTCCAGGTGATTAGAAATTACAAGTTAGGTTGTATTATATATTCTGTATTATGCTACTTCTAAATTGTACTATACTGATTCTGCTTGTAGAAATTCCGTGCCATCCTAATAATAAATTCTGTGCCATAGGAATCATAATATCATATTAATAAAGCTTTAACTGTAACTACGACTTAGTGCCATCATCATGCTGCCAAAGATCCCTAAATTAATGTGTCTGTCCTCCCAGTGTCAGGTGACAAGTTCTCCCTGCCTCCAACACATATAGTTACAAATACTGAGTAAATATGTTTCAGAATTTGACTAAAATCTCTGAGGATTTCAGGTGTGCTCCAGCCTCCCACACGCGTCAGGTCCAATCATGAGGCACTCCGATGGAGCAAGTGAGTGTTCTTCAGCTCAAGGCTATGTGTCCACAGGACAGCTCCCACTGGATTGAGATAGGGCCCCCACAGACACTTCAGGTCTACCTTTCCAGCAACCTCAGTTACTTCACCACTGACATCCGTAGTGGAAGAAGAAATTGAAATACTGAGAGGGGGACAGACAGACAGTGGGGTATAAAAGGGAAACGAAGAGAGCCAGGAAAGCAGTTGGGCATGAAGAAGTAAGAGGAGAGCAGCAGGATAAACTTAAGGACTGACCAGGGAAAGCGTGTGTATAGTGGGAGAGGGGGATCGCCATCAGCAGGTTGGTGGGAAACCACCAAGCAGGACAGAGAGAAGACTGACTGAAGCTAAATGAGGCAGAGGACAGTAGACAAAGATATGATGAACTACCACATAGAGGAGAACTGTTTGAAACAGCTGGGGAGGCAATGGAAGCACATCCTGAAAATTAAGCTTTCTTGCTGTGATTAGGAGAAAAGACAGCTCATTTTGGACAAGGAGCACGAGGGGGAAGGGACTGCCTAAGGAAGGTTCTAGCTCAGGCAGAAAACTTCGAAGAAGTAAGTATTAAAAGAAACCAGGGTAGTAAAATCTAGACTGGTTGAGGAAACAGAACAGGATAAGAAGGAAAATCCAAGCAGGGAAAAGGTGACTAACATTAAAGAAGAGATGAAGAGAAAGAGGGACGGAGCCTTGTGCTCACTGGAAGACATCTTCTTCCTCCAGCACTGATCCTCCATAAAGGGCAACAACATTCTCCCGTACCTCATGAAGCAAAGGTCTGAATCAGGACCAGAAAAGTTCCAACTCTATTAGCAAATTACACTGGTGTAAATAATGCCACTTACAGTGATTTTTTTCCTTTCTTTCTTTTTAATTCTGCTGAAAAAAAGATTTATGAAGTTACAGGCTTCCTTTTAAGAGATCACTAGGGTCAGAAAGGCAAACTCTCAAAACTTGGGAAGTATCAGAATGAAGGTTGCCTACAGCTACGCAAGTGCAATAGGACTATGAAAAACATGCATTAGGCATCTCGCTCACTTAGCATTCACTGTTCCTCAGTACTGCTTCCCCAAGTTCCATTAAAATCTGAGCCATATTTATGCAACTTGCAATTAGAAACATGGATAGAACATTTGTTCTCTTTGCTGCCATTTGCAACAAGATCCAACTAAAAAACAGAGAACTGTTTTGATTTCTCTTAAAATCACCAGGATCCTGAATCAGTATCATGTTTAGAACATTCTTGTACAGAACTCCTGAGCAGAGAAACAGAAGGCTAAATTAAAAGAATAAATCCCTATAGTATTGATTAATCATTTTCCCAGACTGGTACAGTATGGTCTATCACCATCTGTGCATGTAGCCCTTCAGCCCCCTCCTTCAGTCCCTACCAGCGCCTGCTATAAAGCAGAAATCTCACCCTGCAAAGCATTCCCCTCTAAAACCTCTTCTTCCCCCCATCCTCTTTGCACACCCAAATCATGGCAAAGTTAAAGAAAAATCCAGCTCCAAGACCATGTTTTGGAGAGCAACTCAATCTTAAGAAAAAGACCCCAAATCTTGTTTTCCAGCTAACAGACAGGCTCCCCCAAGCAGGAGTTTCAGAACACCCTCCTCCTACTTACCCCCAGCCGGAGGGAGGGCATGCAGCCCCCAGCCTGGGAGCAGGAGCCCTGGTGCGGAGCAGCCCCCTGACCTGCTGAGCCCCCAGCCCAGCAGGCAGGAACCAAAGTGGGTTTATCAATTCCATCAAGAGTTTTGACAGGATTCCCACGGAGCATTTTAACTGAATCACATCAGCATTTTTTGACAAAATCGGTTCCCCATGAGAAAATTTCTCATCTACTTCAATATACACACCCTTATCACTGTAATCGAGTAAGTTGAACCAAGCTTGCATTTTACTGAAACAAAGAGTGCATAATATTACATCAAACCCATTTTGTCCACATTCATACATTATCTTTTGATCCTTCTACTTTGTAACTAAAAGAATCTATGTTTCACAACAGTTACCACCTAGAAATTCACGCTACTCAATTAGGGGATATGCTTCCAAAGTCTAATTGCTAAGGGGTTTCTTTTTAAGTTACTTAAATACCTGGGATTTGTAAATCAGAAAAGGTTTAGGGTTTTATAACAATTTGAATGGTTGACTCAGCAAACAACTTTCAAAAGTAAAGAGCACGGGCTATACAATACTAAGGAATAGTACAGAAGCTGCCAATACAGACTTCACAATAAGTTCAGTGTGTAGCTTACTAGTGTACCAGAGAAAGTAATTTACTTGTGCATCTTGAATTGAGCAAGTAGCAATTCAGGAAGACA